GCTGCCTGCGAGGTTAAACCACGACAATGCACAGAATATATGCTTATGTTGTAAGTGTACACAGAGAAGTGCAGTGGAACTGACTTCTTATGCACAGGCACAGTGCTAAAAATAAATCACAGTGGAAAATGTCAAAAGATTTTATTCCTATCTATTTCGGGGTGAGTGCTCTTATACTCTGTCCCATCCCAGAGACATCCTGATGTGAGATTAACACATGCCAAAGAGACACTGTTAAAGCTGTCCAAGCACTAGCTTCATAGACTCTAGCTCTAAGTTTTATATACTCCAGCTTCATTGAATACCCACCAGGGGCTGAGTAAAAAACCAAACTGACCCTGTTTTAAATGCAGACTTCTAAACATTTCTACCATACATACTTGAGGCAAAATGTAATTGTGAGCTTTTATGCAATTATGGACCTATAAATGTGATATTTGTCTCTATTTTTCAGCTATTGAAATCAAGAAAGGTAGCAGTGCATTAAAGTATAAAGAGACAAATGTCATCCTATAGGAGGATTTTTTTATTGATCCCTGACTTATGCATTATTCACTGATTGAGGGTAAGCTGTAAAATGTTCTCTCTTAAAATTAAATGCCAAACAGGATTCAAGAATTCCACTTGCCAGGTATGTAGTGCTGTCTTCAGATTCCACAAGTTTAGACTACGTCACTAGAGTAAGAGTTTCCACATTTGCAGGGCATATAGGTCATGCTTGTAGATTCATACAAAGTATCTACAAGCAAAGCTGTAGGGATCTAAAATCCCATTTTTTTATTATCTTATTGTAAGCAAGATTGGCAGAGTTTGCAGAAATCGGTTTGCATTGGTGATATTTTCAGAATGGCTGCTTCTCTGGGACTGTGGATGGGATATGGGCTGAGACATTTTGCAGAATGGGTACTTGAGAGAGAAGCAGTGAGTAGAACAAAGATTGAAGAGTAAGGCTTGGAAAATACAATAGTAAATGAAGGGGAAAAATAAAGGGAAAGCAAATGGGAAAGGACAGAGTTTAGTAAAATCAGTAAAGATCAGGAGATAGAAAATAAATTGTTTATGGAGATAAAGTTTGTTACAGCACGAGGAAAGAGCAGCAAGCAGAGTACACAGCATTTGGCTTTGTAGTAAAGGACTCCTCCTGTAGTTTGCGGATCACAAGTAGGTTGACGCATGCATGCCCATCAGGATGGAAGCTGAGTCACAAGCAGGGATTCTTTTAGTTCTACCTCACATGGAAACAGTTTTCCCATGCCAGGAACCAAAGCAGTCCAAAGTAAGAGGCAACAGTGAGAGAATTTGCAACAGTATTCAAGCAGGCAAACAGGAGTGCAGAGGTTACTACTACACAGTACTTCTGCCCTTGGCTTCTGGGAAACCTGTATCACAGAGATAAAGGTAGAAGATAGCTTATGCTAAACTCCATCACTTGTACCCCAGGCACCTGTTTCCACTCATTGCATTTGACTGTGCGTATATCTATCAATACAGTATAGACTGTACATTCATCACAGTGCAGACTAATCCCAGACCAGTTTTATTGACCTTTAGTGTCATGAACTTCACTCTTGAGAAACAAGAAAAAAGTCTCCCAGAAAACATCTATACAGCTATAAAAATTCTGCAATGAAGTTATTGTCCACATTATTTCTTAGAAGCTCAAATTGACAGTGTTACCCCATTTGCAAACGTATACTGCACACTAACCGTACACTCAGAAACAGCTGATAGGCATGCTAGCATAGCATTGGCATTGTTAACAGTGCAATTGCTGCAGCACACAGCTCAGTACAGAGGGCAGGAGTCTCCTGATTAACAGAGCAAATGCTTAAGATATTCAGCATGCACTGAATGTGTACATCTGAAGCTACCTGCCAGCAGTTTGCTCTCTAAGCAGTCCAGTATAAAGTTGGCCGGGATTTACCTACAAGGGCTGTAAATCACACCTGTGCAGATATGCTTAGGAAGATTTGGAGTAAAGTACACAAGCACAGCCATAGTACACAGGACTACTAAGTGCATAATGTTTGTGCTGAACTAGTTTAATGACTGTGGGTATTTACGGCCCACGTAGCTGAAAACAAAGGTGCAAGCAGTAAATTAATCTATAGAAATGCTGTCTCTGACAACTGAGAATTCTCATAATATAAAATTGCAAAACAGCTTTTGTGGGGCAAGAGCTACTGAATCTTGCCAAAAAAAAAAAAAAAAAAAGCAGAACCCAAAGCTTACATAAAACTAACACAATCTCTTAGTTAACGTGGACAGAAAATCTCTCTTACTTCTATTCAGCTATCTCTTCCCTCTTTTTTATATCATGCTGCAATGATAGATGTGAGTTCACACAGAAGTCCATAAATCTTCCTGATTTTTCAGAGGCATTAAATGTATAGTTACCACCCGAATCCTTTAATATTGTTCCCACACTACAAAAGCTGAGAAAACATCTCTTTAGTGTTGCAAAACTCATGTATTGTGTTAGATACCAAATGAACACGCAGGCCTGAGTGACAGGTGGAGTATCCACCCTGCAGAAAAAGCTAAGATTATTCTAGTGTTGTTTTTGTCAAAAAATATCCTTTTGTGGGAATAAAAATCCACGACTTTTACTTCAGTGAAAGCACATTTTTCAGGAGTATTGTTTTGGGGTTTGCTTTTTGTGGCTATATTGTATGTTCCTTACATTGAGATATTAATACCAAAATGAAGTAAACAATGTAATAAAGTAAAAGTGTAGTTCCCTTCCTGGTCTCATCACTGTGTAGTGTGAGGAAATCCTAACTTTATTGTGAAAGATGGTAGTGTTTCAGTAGCAGGACGCATCTCCTGGTGCAATGGAAGACTGTTTTCAAAATATTTTAAAGCACATAGTTGATGCCTGAGGTTTTGTGAAGAAGATTTTTAAGGAGCACTAGGGACCCAGCATGAAACTTGTGGGACCACTCTGCAAGGCAGGAGGTCTCCCTGCTCGCACCTACGGCCGAGCCGCCGTGCGCTGCCCTCGGAGGAGTGGCTTCCAGAGGGGCAGTTGCTCTGGCTTCCCGCAGCTAGGTTGGCTCTCAGCTTGAGTGTTTGCCTTGTGTAACTGTTATACTTAACAGAGTATATAAGGCAACACACTGAGGAGGTAAATATGTGACTAGCTTGCAAAATGGCCACTGGAAAGGACACATCGCTCCTGTCCTTGATTCTCACTGTTGGGGTCACAGCGCTTGTAGCTACTGGTAAGCTTCAAAAGGGTTTTTACCTACTGCCTTCTGTAAGGAAATAGAACACATGTGCAGCTTGCTTACCTAGGGGAACCCCAGCTTTATCAGAGAAGCTGGGCACCCAACCTTGCTGCATAGAAATTGTCTGAAGAGCAACTAGTTTTTAATTTCTTTTTGTGATTTGTTTTCAGTCATTTGTCTTATTTGCCTTTTTTGCAAATAGAGAAATAAAGTTCCTGTCCCAAAACCTCGTCTGCTGAGGCAGAGCAGACCACTGTGCCACATTTGTAATTTGATATTGAGAACTTTCACACAGATCTTAAAATGAATCTTACCTGAATGTTAACAGTATTTGTATATGCTAGACTATTTTCAGTTATGTTAGAAGCTTTTTCTTTTGGCTGTACATACTATCAAGGGTCCAGAATACATTTTGTGTATTTACAGATCTTTTCTTAAAAAGGAAATGCCCTTTCTTAATGAGAGCAATCTATTGGACTTTTAACTAACAACCTGGATCAAAAAGGATTAAGATCTATATGCAGTTACTAATGTGTGGGGATAGTAAGACAATACATGATATACCTGCGGGAGATTATACGTACAAACCAGTCAGAAATGAAGGCTGATCAGAGTTTGAACTCTGATCAAACTACTGATCAGAGTTTGTTGAAGCCTTATGTATGAAAATGAATTGTTTTAGCAAACAAAAGGTGTATATTTAAGTAGCTAAAGCTCTTAGAAATCTGGCAATTACTTACAAATAGACCAATTATGTGATTTTGTGCTCACATCCCCCAGGACAAAAAGCAGAGCAACCAGAAGTGGTGACCAAATATGGGAGAGTCCGAGGATACCAATTCAAAGTAGATGCAGCTGAGAGGAGTGTAAATGTCTTTTTGAGACTTCCTTTTGCTAAGCCTCCAGTTGGACCACTGAGGTTTTCTGAACCCCAGCCACCTGAGCCGTGGAAAGGTGTCAGAGATGCCACTTCCTACCCACCAATGTAAGACAATGACAAAACCATTGATCTTTTTAATAATTTTATATTATATGCAATTCCAAGACACTGATGTACAGGGCAATCAAAAACCACAAAGATAAATTCATTGGTGCCATCTTGTTACCACCTGCAACTGTTACAATGAATGCATTTCTAAAGACATCTTTCTAAGCTGCTCTTTTTATTAAAAACTCTTATCTAATGGGCATCAGTGATGAACTAATATGGACCAGCACTTTGCCAATAATGTTCTGTTTTGGGAGCATTTGGCCATTACTTAGCAATGTTTATAAGCTGTGTAGCTTTAGAGCAGAAACAGAAAGAAGCTGAGGAAATGTTGAAACAAAATATTAGAAGAAAAAAATGCCGAGTGAGTCACGTGCTTAATAGGACACATAAGAAATGCAGATCAATTCTAGTCTGTATTGTAAATGTCTTACTCCATTTGTACTACTGCTCTTGCTTAGTGCCTCAATACCTTAGCTTAATATCCACCATTACAATATAAAAAGCTATTGAGAATGCAAAATAATTAATTTGCATTTTTGTTGAAGTAATTTATAGCCATACGTATTTGCAGGTATATTTCTGTAATATTTTGAAACATGCAAAATTATATCTGCATGTCACTGTGTACTGCTGTAGACTGTGGCTCCTTTTGATCGCCTTAATGCCAGGTCAGAGGAAGAAAATATATTAAAAGTGAAAAAAATATTTTACGTTTTCTGTTGCCAACAATCTAGAAATGTACTAGAGATTGGTTTCTGGTTTGCATTTTATTGTGGAAGTACAAAAAAGCTACACTTCGTACCTTTGAGGTTTTATTTATTTCTGTTGCTTGTTATTTTTTCATTTATTCAGGTGTCTACAGGATAAAGTACAAGGACAGTTTTTATCGGACATTATTACTAATAGAAAAGAAAAAGTTCTTCTCCAAGTGTCTGAAGATTGCTTATACCTAAACGTGTATACACCCGTTTCTACAGAAAAACAGGAGAAGCTGCCTGTAAGCAAAATCATTATAAAACCTCTAGCAAAATTATTTTACAGCAAACCTACAGCCTTTACTACATGCAGACTTACAGGTGAAGTTTCGTGGTGGTGATGATCAAGTTACATGCTTTGCCCCAGTAAATATTTGCTGAGGTTTAGAAGTTACACAAAATCCTATATTACAAACAAAATTTTTTTGGCATTTTAGCTAGGTAATGTTTGATTTCCCCTAAATAATCTGTGAAAAGTCACGTGGCACTGGTATAATGTAAGTACTTAATAAAATCAATGCCATTTTGTAAGACTGCAGGCCTACCATTTGTGAAATGTAATCTGAAAGAGTCAGGAGTGAAACAGCACAAAATATTATATTTTGGTTTATATTTAGTTTTTATCACTGAGAGTTCTTTTCTGTGCTGGGTTGTTTCTGGTTTTGTCTTTCCAGGTGTTTGTATGGATCCATGGAGGTGGACTCATTTTAGGAGCAGCTTCATCATATGATGGTTCAGCATTAGCGGCTTTTGACAATGTGGTGGTTGTAACAATTCAGTACAGATTAGGTATTGTTGGATATTTTAGGTAAGATATTTTATCTCAGTTCTTGCTAATTGATTTCCAAAATTATGTGTGCAAAGCCTTTGTGAAGAGACATTCAGAATACTTGCTTATGCAAAGAAACTATACATTTCTTAATTACTATGCAACAGTTGGGAACAATTTACAAGTCCCAAGTCAGCTTCCAAGTCTGTTCTTGTTTGATTGCTACTCTAATCTCAACTCTGAGCCATTTCTTTTCCAGTTGTGTAGAGAAGCTCTGTGTAGAGAATGGCAGCTGATTTCTTATACCACAGATTGTATTTTTCTCTGCCTTTTTTCTTGCATTGAGCATTTAAACAAATCTATTCTTTCTCTGCAGCACTGGTGATAAGCATGCCCGAGGTAACTGGGGGTATTTGGATCAAGTAGCAGCTCTTCAGTGGATTCAGGAAAATATCATACATTTTGGAGGAGATCCAGGATCCGTCACTATTGCTGGAGAATCTGCAGGAGGAGTCAGCGTTTCTGCTCTTGTAAGTTCACAGTAATATTGAATTTTAATTACTTAGGGAAAAAAACCACCACGTTCATTTTTAGTACCCGCATGAAAAGTCACTAAGAGAAAAGGGATGGGTTTGTAGTAAATGGCACATCACCTTGGACTTTAATACAACGTGATATCAATACAGCTTCTGATTGATGAAAATGTTCTTTTCATACCCAAATCTTGTAGTTCAGACCCAAAATGTTATTCCTTATCTACTAAATTAAATTCTGGGGGGTTTTTTGCAGTGCCAAAAAACCAAAAATTTATCTTTATGAGAGAAGTCCTTTAGAGGATATATTGCCCATTTCCTGTTTGCTTTGACAGTCACTTGTGCAAAGTAATGGAGGTGAATAGTCATGATAGCTGAACTAGACATGCATTTTGTGACCCAGTGATGATGTACAATCTTTACATCAACACTGAGCACATTGGCTATGAGGTTCTTCTTCTCCAGTCTCTCACAATTTGGTTCAGATCACATGGTGAAACCAGTGTTCAGTGATACATGAGATAAAAATTCCTGTTTCCTAAGCTCCTGCCCTCTGGCCAATAGTCCTTTATTCCCCTTCTGCAGCACAGCCAGACTATCTTGGACACAGTTATATTCGATCCATATCTGGCTTGCAGTGTAGTTCCATGAAGTCTTGGAAGCAAGGTGCTACGGGAGAGGAAAAGGCAGGCATGAACTCCTTATCCTGGATAGTGCTGCCAAAGCCCTTTGCATAGCTGAACTATGATCAGAGGCTACAGAATAACAATCTTAGGACATTTGTTTTCAAAATGTTTTAAATGGCAATTCCTGATATTGAAATTCCAAGTCAGTGGTCAGAACATAATGCTTGTCATATTTGTAATGCTTGTTCTTGCTTTTTTACAGGTCTTATCTCCCCTGGCGAAGGGCTTGTTCCATAAGGCTATTTCAGAGAGTGGTACTGCAGTCAGGCTTTTGTTCACTGACCAGCCTGAGAAGGAAGCAAAAGTGGGTATTTTGTGGTAATTTTAATTATTTTCCCAGATAGTTTTGCATATCTCAAACTGTTTATTCCAAAATGTAGAAACGGATTTTTTTCCCTGTGAAACTACAACCACAGTCATGAAAGACAGTATTTCTGTGAGCAAATAATACATGTTTAATGATGCTGTGCTTTTCAAATACCCAAATACCGACATATGTCTGAGTGAAAGCAAATGACTAAGGAAGCAAAGAAAGAAGGCAGGGAAGAAGTGTGAAGTGTGGAGGAATACTGTAACATGTACTGTCTTCAAGAAAAGTTGAGCTATAATTTTCGGCTGGAAAATGGCACCAGATTCTGAATACTCTTCTCTTCCCCTCCTTTTTGATGCCTGTTGTGTGCAAAATAAACAAGACTTTATTCCATTTGTTTATATTTGAAAAGAAGAGCTCTCTTCAAGCCGATTTTTTTTTTTCAACTACAAGAAAGAACTTCCAAGAACCTAGATTTGATAATCTGGGATATAAAAGAGGCAACATTATAATAAGCTCTGGCTCTCTAACGACAGCTGTTACTCCACCCAAAAAGACATCATCAAGAATAATGTAATGTGCTCTCTGTTACTATTTACATGCTTGTATTCTGACCGTGCATCACTATCTCCTTTATGTCATCCTGCCTTCTCAGCCCAGCATGTTATTTACCAGAATGACTATCTTGGTCTATTTCTGTATCAAATACTTTGGAGGAGTATGTTTTGTCCTTCTGCTCAGCCCACAGTGTGAAGGGTTATGAGGGCTTCCTATTCTCTTCCTCTGCAGCTGGAACATGTCTGGCTTCAGTGATCCTTGTGCAGAAGTTTAGACTCCCCCCTGCTGGGCTCTCAGGCTTGGTGGCACACAGAGCCTTCTGCGAGAAGTATATGAAAAAGTGTTTGTTTTTATTGATTGCAGAGCATTGCTACTGCTTCTGGCTGTGAAAAATCCAGTTCAGCTGCAATAGTTGAATGCTTAAGAGAAAAAACAGAAGAAGAGATATTACAGATAGCACTAAAAATGGTAGGTGAAATTACACTTTTGCATTTAAATGACATTTCAAATTTTATCATAACAGAGTATGCTATTTGTGTATTGTAATATTAGGAGAACTTGAAGGGAATGTAACATCTGACTTTCTTAACCTTTTCAGGATTTGTCAACACTGCACCTATGCTATACCTTGCCTGAAAAATGCAAACAGGTTGCTTCCCTTTCATTCTGCATGGACTTTGAGCTACTTGTGTTTTGCTGTTATGATCTACCAGGGG